GCAAGGGTTCTTCTTTGAGTGATTGCTCATGTACATTCCACAATAGGGGTGTGTGCTCGCCACGTGTACTGGTGCCAGAAGTTTTTCCCTCAGCAGTACCCATAGGGGAGCACCCCTAGCAACCCCTGGAGTGGTGTTGCCATGGCACAGTATAAGGGGTACTGCGCGCTTCCCCCCCCCACTCAGTTCCTTTTTGCTGCCAGTGCAGGTGCTTTGGAACTGCTCTGCTCCAGCTCTGCTGTAGCTTTCCCTTTTGTACTCTGTTAGTTCACAATTAGTGCCTGTAGTTTTAAAAAAAAAACTAAAAAGAAAAGTTTTAGTTAGGATTAGTTGAGTGCGACCAGGTTGGGGCATGCCCTGTGTCCCAGGCTTTAAGTCGTGCAACACTTGCAAACGGCCTATCCCCGTGAGTGATCCACATGCGGACTGTTTACGGTGTCTGGGGGAAACCCATCTCCGCGATCGCTGCAAGATTTGCAGATCCTTCAAACTTCGTACCAAAGAACAGGACACTTGGCTCTGAGCCATTCTCATGGAGTCAGCCCTAACCCCAACACAGCTGCACTGCAGTATTGGTGCACGGTGACCTAATGCTGCCTTCCACCAGTTGCCACTGCTGGGCAACAGGTTTGTAGAAATTTTGGTGGTGCTCAGAATCTGCCCCTCCCCCATCTGCCTAAGGCTCTGGGAGGGAGTTTTGGTGGGGGAGGGGGTCTGGGGTGCAGGCTCTGGGAGGAAGGTTGGAGATGGAAGGGAGTTGCAGGCTCCGGGAAGGAGTTTGGGAGCTGGGGGGGAGGGAGGGTAGATGCTGGGAGGGGGTTGGAGGTGCAGCCCTTACCGGTGGGGACATGGAGTACCGCACCCACATCCTAAACCTCCCCGGAAGAGGCGATCACGGCCCCTCCTCCACCTGTCCCACAGGAGGACTCTAAAGCTTACTAGGAACTCTTGAAAAGGGTGGCATCAAACCTCAACCTTCAAGGTGAGGAGGTGAAGGAACCCTCAGCCATCCTCTCGGCTTCAACACTGGGCAGGGTGGTGTGTCGAACTGGGACTGTTCTTAATGTGGTCTGTGAATGCTGAGTAGGGAGTGTTGGCTGGGAAGGCAGGGGAGTGTGGTTAGGATTGTCTGCATAGGGGGATGGGAGACCGGCCTTGAGGGAGAATACCTGAGCATGTAACATGAGAACCCAGGAAGGGGTTAGAGGCCAGGTGGCACCCTTGCCCGGGAAACTGAAAAACTGAACAAAAGCTGGGGAGAGAGTTGCAGGAGCTGGCTGGTGGAATGGCTGGCAGGCAGACGGGGCTCTGACCTTCCCCCCCCCAGGGGACTGTGGTGCCCCTGGGACCACGAGATGCACCTAATTGGGGGGGGGGGGGTCCTGTTGTCTGTGCCTGCAAGACCTGTCTACAACTGTATTCCTATCGTCTAAATAAACCTTCTGCTTTACTGGCTGGCTGGCTGAGAGTCATGGTGAATCGCAGGAAGCCTGGGGTGCAGGGCCTTGTGTTCCCCCACACTCCGTGACAGGTGGCTCTCCCACTCCATGAAGGGGTGGCAAAGATCTCAAACGCCATATGGCAAACCCTGGCTTCCTTGCCACCCATCTCTAAGAGGGCAGAATGGAAGTATTTCATGCCTGCCAAAGGGGAATGAATACCTGTACACCCACTCTGCCCCCAACTCCCTAGTAGTCGAGTCAGTCAACTACAGGGAGAGGAAAGCCAACCACCCCCTACGCCTAAGAATAAAGACTGGAGTAGACTAGATCTATTCCGTAGAAAGGTTTATTGGTCCTCGAGTTTCCAACTAACGGTGGCAAACCACCAAGCTCTCCTGCCAAGGTACGAGTTCAATTTGTGGGGCTCTCTGCCCAAATTCAAGGACTCCCTCTAAGAGCCTGATAAACAAGCGTTCAAGGCTCTGATGGAGGAGGGTATGGGTGCTACCAGGGCAGCCCTTCAGGCAACCTCGGATGCTGCAGATACGACCGCAAGGTCTATGGCCTGCGCGGTGTCCATGAAGAGGGCGTCATGGCTCCTGTTGTCTGGGTTGTCCTCGCTCCACCACAGGCCTTCTGGCCCCGGTGCTCTGCTTCTTATGCCATTTCCTACGGCTCCTCCGAAACTCCCTTTTAAGGAGCTTTACCAGGGCCTGCTGTTCCTCTGTCAGCCACCCCAACTGTTCCAGCAGGGCCCACTGCGTCTTATAGTGCCTCTGCTGGGTCTCCTTGACCTCATGCACCAGTCTCTCAGGCTGTCAGGCAGCCCCTTTCCTCAGGGGACTTGACCCTGGAGCCCAGCCTGAAATGGCACAGGAACCCTCTGCGAAGAACACCTCCGCATAACCCGGATCCATCATCCCCTTTCTCCTCTGTTCAGCAATAGTCCCAGTCCTGTCTCTGCCCCTTGTATCGGGGTGACAGTCTATGCCCGCATTCTCCACAACGTGTAGCAGTTCATGCCCTCACCAACACAGCGCCTCCTGCTGGTTGTCTGGAAATTAGCTCTTTTCCAGCCTCGGAGTGCCCTCTGCTGGCCAGTGGCTCGCCGGCCTCAGGCCCCCCATGTCCCTCCTGGACCCCGGTGCCCCTTCACCTTGGGGTTCTGACCCAGCAGTACCCCCACACTCTGCATCTCCCCTCCCAGGGGAACCCCCTTCTCTGATGCCCACCTTGCTTCAGTGGTTACTGCCAGTCATCATCTAGTCCCCTTTCATTGGGGCAAACCGCAGTCTGTAATGACCACGCATCACTGACAAGGGGGTGGGACCAGCTGCCTCTGCCTACCCCTGGGCTGCACCTCCCAGCCCCAGTACCTGCCTTGGGCCTTTAACAAGGCCTCAGCCTGGGGAGTTGCCAGGCTGGAGCTCCCCAGCTCCTCTTGCCCTTCTCAAGCACTGCTCTGCTTCAGGTCCCCTATTCCCAGGCAGCCAGGTCCTTCTCCCTTCAGGGATGGAGAGAGACTTATTCAGTGCCTCCCTGAGCCCTTATAACAAGGCCGGGCGTGGCCCCAGCTGTGGCTGCTTCCCCAATCAGTCTAGCTTTTTCTATCCGAGCAGGGTAACTGCCCCGCTACAGATGGTAACTAGGATTTAATTAAACACAAAACAGCATATAAAACTTACTTTTATTAAACAATCTTGCACCCAGAAGCATAGCACCTGGGTCTCTCAGAGGATTGAGCTCTTTATACAGTACATGACCTACTGTGCCATATGTATAAAGCTCAACATCCCCTGATTTCTGTACTTAGAAAAAAAAAAAAGGCAGCGTTTAACTCAAAGTTTTTGATATAGGTTTATGGATTCAGCATATTGTTTTTATTTAAATGTTTTAAGAGATTATAGTTTTAGGCCTTAACATATTATGTATTATATTCAGATTTCATTTTAAATAGGGTACCTTTTTAAAAAAAAAAAAAAAAAAAAAAAAAAAAATTATAATTTAAAAAACAATTTCAAGTCCTCTTT